GATAGATGATGCATAAGTGACACGTCTAATATGTTAACTCATTGGAACACAAAGGTATGTCTTTGCAATATTTGCATGAATTTGCTTCTTTCCGTTAGAATTTTTTAGTTGCGTCACCTCTATAGGTTATTCAAGAAATTTGCCACACAATTTGCACGAGCATCTTCATTTGTTTTGCCTACTTCTGATCATGTCCCTGAATTATGTGTCACAGGAAGCTTTTGTGTGAAATTGAGAAATTCAAGGAACTAGCCACACATTTCTGGAACCCCTTTTTTCAGTTTGATCCTGTAAGCGGGATGATTCTTGGACGACTAGTCAGGACTTCATAACCAGTTCTCTCAGTTAAAGGTAACTATGTTTTGACATTGGAAACAAAAGACACAGTTGTTGTACATAGAAAACAAGTTTACTCATGGTAGATGATTTTCCGGTTTTGAGGATAAAAAATGATTCATAGGGTGACATCATAATTGTTTAAGCAATCAAACATAAACACAATGAACTTCAATGATTTTCGTGTGTGATGAATCAACACAATCTTTTCTTAGTTGAGTGAATAAGATCAACAATGAAATCAATTAGGGTTTCCAACAGTAGCAATTAGTACCTTTCGCTTCTTCAGCCTTAGGTTTGTTCTCTTTAATTCCGACACATTCTGCTCCAACTGTTCTGTATATGCCTATAGCCACCCAAAAAAAAAAAACTTTCAGAGCATTCAGAAATCGTATATGATCAAAAATGCTACAAAAAGACAATTCACGAAATCCCTGATATATATGAACCTGTTTCCTTGCCCTTGACCTTGCAGCAGATTCTCGGTTCTTGATCATCCTTCTTTGCCTCCTTTGGTAGCTCCTCTCCATCATTTCGTCAGAATGCCGCCTTTTCCTTTCAGTCTCCAAATGAGGATTTGATGAAGATGCTGCCTCCATAGGTATTCCCATCTGCTTTTCCAAGTCACAAGAGACATCCCCAACCTGAGGATGATTTTCAAAACCAGTGTCTGACACCGGAAAATATGAAGCATCCATCCGGGCATGGATTGGCGTTGGAAAAATCACCTGATGCTGCTGTTCCTGTCCCTGACCGTGCTCCATGTCGAACTTAATCCAATCTGATGACTGTTGCTTCACTAACACCAGTGGATCCAATACTGATAATGGTGGTGGATTTGTAATGCTCTGTTGATTTCCCAGGCTGAGGACACCTGCCCGAATCAAGAATTCTTCTAAATTCGTTTCTCCAACTGTCAGTTGTCGTCTAGCTGAGTAATCAATATTGCCGTTGAGATCGGCGCATTCTCGATCCACAATCTCGTTCCAAACTTCTTCTATTGTTTTCTTACTCAATGGACGGTCCAACTTTTTAACGTCAACAGAAGCTAAGGAAGACGAGGATGACGATGATGATGATGATACTGATGAAGAATGGTCTTGGATCAAATGATCATGACCCTCTTCAGTTGAGATGACATTCTTGACTAATTCATCTAAATTCATAGTGTTCGAAGGTTTGGACATGTTTCCAAATTGGCTGTTAACCTCATCCGCACTGAGGTTGTACATAGAGCCTTGTCTAAGTAATATTGGAAAAGGAGCTAATCCCTCATGATCAACTTTATTTGGTAACATCATGGCTTCTGTCTATATATATATATGAACACTCCAACAAAATTTATGTTCTAAATTTCACAATTATCTCAAACAATGCAGTGAAAAATCAATTTTTTTCGATCAGCTGGCGATCTAATGATCTGAAAGGTCATATATAACTCAAATTTCAGATCTATTCGAGAAAGACTAGTCTGAAGAAATTTGTAGAAATGAATTGGAAGTTTATATTGTGAAATGACATAACATTTAGTGATAATGCCTTGATCGAGTGAATAGTGAAAATTGAAAAGTATTGAGTTCAGGAAGAAAAGATGCATGACATTTGAGAACCTGTTTATATAACTTTTGGTGTATATTTAGAACTTCCAACTCTATATCCCAGCAATATAGGGTGGAAATCCGGTGTGGCTGTTGAGATATACTAGGAGGGGAACACCGCGCGATGCGCGGTGTAATTTTCAAGTTTGCCCAGAAATGTTCAATTATTTAAACTGAGATATTCAATATAAAAAGTTACGTGAAGGTGCATCCAAATGTTTGTAATTATTTTTTGTAATTTTATTAAGCAATGAAGAGAGGCACAATTTCAGTCTGGTTGCTAAATGACAGTCATTTTTGGTATGCTGACTGATTTGGACAGCAATGGCAATGTCATTAGTTTGAAAATAATATAACACTGTGTAATGCTGCCTTATATTTTTTATGTGCACCAAAATCTGTGACTTTGTAGCTCAAAAAAAAAAAAAAAAAAGAGAGCAGTGTAGTATTGCAGCAAGGCTTAGCCTTATTTTTAGACTCTGATACAACCAATCCACTATTTTCGTAATTGCATCAAATTAACCCAAAGACTGAAAGAAAGACCCATTACTTTGTAGTACAATAACCAAAATGGCTTCATTAGCTTGTAACTTCCAGAAATCTATGGAAAGCAAAAGAATTGTGCTCACATATCAACCGTAGTGAGATGAACTGCATTTGACCAAAAATGGAGGAGGATTACCTAATGCAGGTGTATCTTCTCAATACATCAATAGCATAGGGGATGGTCAACTACTCAATACACAAAAAAAAAAGGAAGTTTCACAGGCCTCGATGCAATTCTACCCTTGATCATTTGATGCATGTCAACAGCCAGAATCCCGTAAAAGGAAAGACAAGCACATGAGATAATGTAAAAGCCTGCATTTATGAAACTTACGACCAGTAGACTGCATTCCAGAGGTTCTCATTACACATCAAAGCTGTTCCAGCTCAAAAAGGAATATAAGAAAAAGAAGAAAAAAGAAATGCACAGTGTAGTATTGCATCAAGCCTTTTCCTTGTTATTAGAATCATACACTTCAAAATAACCGAAAGACCGAAAAATGCATTACTTTGTAGTACAATAACTAAAAAGGTTTTCATTAGCATATAACTTCAAGAAATCTAATGAAAATAAACTGTGCTTACATATCAACCTTAGTGGGATAAATTGTATTTGATCAAAAAAGGAGGAGGATTATTAATATAGGCCATACTTCTATCCTCTCAATACATCAGTAGCAAAAGGGATGGTCAAACTCTTGGCACAAAATAACTCATCCAGTTACACAAGATTTTAAACCAAATAAAAATATTATGATAACACCATCCACGTGAGATATAATGCATCAAGAGCTGACATACATATACAGCATGTAATGCAAAGATCAGATAGCTACAGTTAGTGCAAAATCTAGTATCCAGGGTCATACGCTTCAAGGCATTGATCTTGATAAAGTTTCAAGGGTGGCCGATTCTGCTTCCCACATAAATAAACACGTAGTTTTGTTAATCAAATGGCAGAGGCATTCTTGAGTGGTACTGCAAAAATCCACTTCATACAGTTAAATATTAGTAACAATTACCACATTCTTCAAAAATATATCATAGATTTTTTTCTTTTATCATTGTCACTTCCATTTTAATCTAACTTTTTTCACTTACAGGAACATCAACATTAGCGCCTATCTATGCAATTACCTATATGGCAGACAAGTTTTTTCCATATAATTATCCCTGAAGGCAAAAGTATGGGGCAAAGGATTTTGTACAATTCATAGGTCGGGCCATACTGCACCAGTGTAGCCAAAGAATAAACGAACAATCTTCAATTACAATATAAAACATGCAATAACTACAAATGAACAATTTTCCATTACATTATTATATACACAATATAGACACTGTTGTAAAAAAAAAATTCCATTCATAGAGATGGTTATATTAAACCGAAAGGTGAAAGAAAAAAAGTTAGAATCAGCATCTTAAAAGTAGTAGAAGGCCATTATTTGCTTTATTATATGCCGATAATTTTAATACCTAATTCCATCATGAAGAGCCCGGTATCCATCTAATTTAACACCAAATAAGGACACAAAGAAATGGTTCGCAAGTTAAATAGTAGAAAAGATAATTAACAGAAACTTAATCATTTTCTCATAATTAACAGAAACATAATCAACAGAGACATCTACTAATTATTAGTATACAAGCACATCTATTTGACTAAGATATTTTTTTAAATAAAGTGTAAACAGCTTACTTGTCTAAAGCTGAATTATGCTAAAAGGCCAAAGCTTGGGCTTAGACTGACTGGTACTAAACGAAGCATTACCCCTATAAAATTCAACCCAAAAGTTAACAACAATAAACAGGAGCAAAAATAAATTGTTCATATGCAAAATGGAAACAAGTAGAAAAAAAGAAGGCTATAAAATGTTACACAAAGATAATCACCAAGTTTTTAGCCAAAGACATTGTGCTAAAATTTAAACAACCCATGAATCCAAAACTATATGGTCAAAGAAGGAAAAGAGATCTAGGGATTTTTTCTTCTAAATAATAGGTTTTTTTGGTAAACATACACCTTTCGTAACAGCATTTGTGGCCAAAGTGTTATCTACCAACCAATCTAACAAATTTTGCCACTTTAACCTCCTTTCCCACAATTAGTTGAAAATTATTCAAAACTATAATTAAAAACTTCAAACTAAAGTCATCAAAAGATGAAATAAGTTCAATTCCATTGGAAATTGACAATGGCAGAGACATGAAAAAGAAACAAAGAAAATTAACAATTTAAGTTATTTTGAAAATCCCAAGCAACAACTAAACAAGAGCTGGGAAATTTGAGCATATAACATGTCGAGTGATAACCAATGCAATCTTGATTTTGAGCTCCAAGACTCCAAATGATCAAGTAATATAGTACAGCATAAACTGAAAAGCATGAAACTTTTGCACTAAAAGCCAAAGCCAACAGATGAGATAACTTATTTATGGCTTGGTTCCTAAGCTTAAATGACACCACAAATACAGCAATAATAAAAAAACAACAGCCTCATCAATCCATTTTAGCTGCGAGGAGTAAAGACAAGTTACATTAAATAGCTATCAATGATACAGTCAACCAAACACAGTAGCTCTAGTATGGTAAAAGAATATTGAAATGGTCAAATAATAGTGAATTTCCCAAAGAATAGGAAACTTAAATGACCAATGCCTATGTTAGCGCCAAGTAACCCAAGGGTCTTTTCTTGAAACTCAATCTCTAGCTTTTTCTTAACATTTTAATCATTACAGTAATGACCATAATCATTTCAGTATCAGTATTTCAACTTGCACTTTTTCGCACACCTTTCTTCTTTTCTTTTACGTCCCTCCTCACACTGCCAATGCCTCTCATCCTTTTTTCAACAAGTTTATACCTATAAATATTGAAGTTCAAGAAATGAACCCAAAAGGTTAAAGATGAAATATACAAATTTATTACCAAGTAAAACTTACTCTAACAACAAAAGTGTAATCAATCTATAAAATTAATCAATGAAAAGAAACTAATGATTCGTTATTCAAAAGCCCATCAAAAGAAGATGACATTTTCACACTACAAAATAGTCTATCTAGATAGCCAAATAAGGAAGCTGACATGCTATGGAGTTCCAAATACGGATGTGCACAATATCTGCTCAACCAAGTCACCTAGTTTAAGGTATTCTCACATATCAATTAAACAGAACCTGAATTAATTAGAACTTATACTATCATTAAAACCCAAAAAAGGAAAAACAACAATAAAAGGTGAACAAACACCTACTTAAAGGCTATCTTCACCATTTGTTTATTCCTGGACCACAAATAAAGATTGCTTCTTCCTGTAGTGGATACCAGAAAAAGAAGAAAGAAGAAAGAAAAGGTCAGAGATAAAAATCTGACGGGGAAAAATTTATCCCTGAGAAATTGCAAAGGCAAAGTACCTTCGGTTGTGTAGACAATCATCTCTCTAGTCTTACTCTCAAACATATACTACTTTAGAAATATTGACTTGTCCTAAAAGATGCAGAGACAGAAATTGCATGAAGACCAGGTCTCATATTCAGTGAAAAAACAAGCAAAGAACAAAAGGATTCAACTTTTAACTGAGCAAAAAATGATTCCTGAACCAGCTTAGAGGTTTCTTCGGAAAATCTTTAAACTTCTCTGTAAAAGTCAAAGTGAAAAGTCTTAAACTCGACCCTTTTGTTCCATATTAGTTAATGTTATTTATCATTTAGCTTCTGATTTAACAGATGCACTTGATATAATTTTGGCAGATTTCATTTTGACAGGTAAAAGGATTCACTCAAAGCTAGTATTTAAGAGAAGAATATTAAAATCTAAAAACAAAAGGCCCAAAGTACCGTGAAAAAAATAGGAGCAAGAGTTTTACCACAATTTTTTGCCATCCTCCACAAATTTCTGTCATAGAGGGAAAGAGGGAAGGTCACAAATTGAAAAGGGAAACAAACCAGAGCAAAAAACTTGTGGGCTAAAAAGTTTCTTACCACAGAGGTTGTTCTTCCTTTTCTTCCTCACTCTGTAAAAATGCAAATTGTAATATGAAAGTATAAACGAAGTAAAAAGACGGGAAAAATCACGGATGAATGTGCGCCAAGAAAAGAAGCAATCAGTGTTTCTACAACAGGGGCTCTAGAATGCATAGGTGTTTTAGGGATTAAATGCTTCTAGAATGCTTTAAGAAACCACTATAACTGATACTTTCTGTCAAACAGCACCAGAAAAAATGTTTATAGAGGAAAACATTGATGTTCATGCCTATTTTTTAGCTAAAACCTAATAAATTCATCTTCCTTTCTATAAAAATAATAGTATAATCCAATAAAATAAAATATAAAATAAAAACTTCAAGTGATTTGAGAGTAGAGACCGAAATTAAAAGGACGAAGGTTTTATCGGCAAAAAATAAATAAACAAATAAATCAATAGATAAATAAAGCAGAACAGACCTTTGGAGGACAGAAAAGGATGGAATATATCCACAAGTACTTGCATTTGCATCCCATAAAAGTTTTCATCTTTTTCCTGCAAAGATAATACTATAAAAATTAGGAAATCGGATAAATAAAACATAAGAGACATAAAATAAAATAAAAAATCTTAAGATATAAAGATTAGAAGATCAAAGTTCTTATCGCTAAGAAAATAATTGACTAACAGAGATATTAAACCAAGCTTTATTAATTTTTAAGCAAATAAAGACCATTGGAAGAACAGAGAAAAGTTGAGTAACTCTACAAGTTATTTGTACCTCATCTCATCTAAAAAGATCAGAAACAAAAGCTAGAAAATTGAAGATCATCTGTGGCTGTTGTTGACCTTAATTTTTAGAGAAAACAATACAGAAAAAATCGGAGAGGTATGGAAGAATTGTTGGTCCGCCGGTGACTTCTCTCTCACCTTTTGCTCCGTTTCTACTTCCCTATTACACCTGCACACGAGCACCTGGAACTTCCCCTCTCCGTCGGAAAATGGGAAATAAGGTTACCATCCTAGAAAACAGGACTTGGTTCAACATAGAAATCAAGATGTGGGTGGATGGCTCTAGGCCTGATAGGTTCAGGAAAATTGTTAGGATCGAACCAGGCAGATCTATAAGAGTAAAGGCCTCAGCTTTCAACAGCGATGATGATCCGGGCGGCCCTGAATGTGTCATGCTACTGGTTTATGCAAATGGAAGTTGGACAGGAAAATACCTTCTTCCTCAGGACTTGTTCGCTTATGCGGCTGTCTTCTGCTATAGGAACCAACATGGTCAAGTCGTTCTTCGAGCCAAGAGAGCAAACTTCAACCTCTTCGCAATCGTACAGAAATCAGAAGAGGAAGAAGATAAGAATTTGATGGTAGTAATCCTCGAGCCACTAACCAACCTTCAATTGATGTGATTTTCTCTGCTACTGCACGTCTTAGATTGAATCCAGTGGATAATAGGTTGAGCTCAGCAACAAACAACGGTGCATCTGTTTTTTAAAAGAAGGGCAAAATTGTAAAACCATGGAAACCCACATTGAGCCCATCACTTTCGTCTCAGCAAGTCAGCACATTGAGCCACATTGAACTCAGCAGGTCAGCTGGTCTTCATTTTCGTCTTTCGGACAAAAAACAGTTGCACTTCTCCTCCCAGCGGACAAAAGCAAGAATCTGAATTCTCCTCCCAGCGAAAGCACGCGAGCCCCACGTGATGGACGACGACCCCCCAGCGAATGAAATGTAGCCACATCAGCACAACCAGCAAGACAAGAAGAATTACACTTCCCAGCAAGAGCACACGAGGCCCACGCGATTGACGGCCAAATCTCAGCCAAAAAACCGAAGGTCCTTCTTCTTCTTCTCTTGGACAAAAGCAAGAGAAGAAGAATTACACTTCCCAGCAAGAGCACACAAGTCCCACGCGATTGACGACCAAATTTCAGCCAATAAAAGTCAGCCACGTCAGCAGAACAACCACCACCCTCAACAATCCCATTCGCGCTTTTACTATATAGGTTGATAAGGGATCAAAAACGGAGTCATGGACCTGATCGACTAGAAATTTGTGCCTCAATTGATTTTTTATTTTCTTGGGATCCTCTGTGAAAACTAAGTGGGCTGCATGGTGTTTAACCAATTCCACACATTCGAGTGGGAAACCAGGAATTAATGATTTTAGTTGTCCTTACCCTTTGTTTTTGCAATAAACACTTCTTGGTTCTTGAAATACATAATCGCCGCGTAAAGGTAATTTACTTTGTCAAGAAATTACTATAACAAAAATACAAAATGTTTGTATACTTGGGGGCTATATAGGTTTTGTTTTCCCTTTTTCTTTGTACTTTTACTTTAGATTTTTAGCTAACATTCTTCTTCTGAGAGCAAAGAACAACATTCGTATAATGATGGTATCAACGAGATAATCTTGTTATGCTCTAGCCAATTTAATTCCTCGAGTTAGTGTATTAAGTTCGATTAAAAAAAAAAAATTTAACGTCCTTGGTTTGTTGAATTTCCCGCCTAACGAGCCAATTTCACGCATAATTATGATTACTTTCTCATTTCAACAGACGATATTGGGGCAATTTCAGTATTAACCCAAAAAAAAAATTTTAAAATTACTGCCTTCAACTGTATCTTTCCTCCAAACTCCAAACTCCAGCCAAGGCAGTATAACAAAGAATGTTGCCATCCAAGAGGGTTGAACAATCATTTTGGCTATAGATTATGGAAATTACACAAAACCAACAAGTCTTAAAGAATCTTTTCATAGCGTCAAAACTCAAAACAGTACAATAAGCAAGAGTAATTGAGCTCAAAAGCCTGGCATTCTCGTTTACTTCAGATTTTACAAAACTGTGATTATTAAAAACAATCAAGATCAGCAAAAACCAATCTTTGTTTGATTCTAGGTATTAACTTTTTTGGCTATTAAAGAATTCATAATCTGAACGCAAAAGCAAATGGTAATATAATATCACAAAAAATAATTATCTAAAATAAAAATCTATAATTAGATTGAAGTTTGCTAAAGGCATTTCAACATGGCAACATACAATCAGTTGGTTTGTGTGGGCTGACTATTTGTTCAGAGGTTTGCACACAGTACAAGTTTTGTACAGCTTCTGTTCGGCCAACAAGTAAAAGGCTGATCTGTCAGTCATATGATATTAGCCCATATGTCCATAAGACCATTCTTTAAGGTTTTTGGAAAAGTTTTTATTCACAAATTAGACAATTTTCATTTTTTTTCTTTCTAATGCAAAAATGAGGCCCTATGTTTTCGATTGGGTGAATCTGTAGTCATTTAAATTGAAGTACAATGTTAGACACCAGACTCCTTAAAATTTGTGAATTAGGACTACTAACTTTGTACTAACTTCCTTTTCAAAAAAAAAAAAAAAATTGTACTTATCCATACTTTTACATCACATATTTTACTTTTCTTCATTTCGAGCTTTTCCTGGGAGTATAGCATGGGTTATTTCAGCGTCGTAGCGCCTGGTACTCGAACATTATCTCGAGACATTTTCTCTATCCCTTCTTACCCTGAAAAAGTAGGGTTACCTTACGTTCTTGAATCGATAATTATCTTTCGACTAACCTAACCTCCTTCATCCCTCAGGTTCAACAAACGGAAATATTAACCTGTCGGTTTGGGATCATAATCATTATATAGGAGAGATGGGGCCGACTAAAAATTTTACAGTAAATTAGAGTAAAATTTTATAAAAACTCCTAAAAAACACACCATCTAAACAGATCCATTAGTAATTCCCCTGCGCAAAAGCACATTCGTTACTTTTCTGCTCTCCTTGTTGTATAATTGACACTTCAGAAAAAAGAATAGCCTATTCCTTTCGCCATTTTTTTCCGTGTAAATATGGTTTGTTTGCTTCATAAAAGTGGTGCAACTATTTAGGTGTTAATAGTAGAGAATTGGGTAAATGATAATTGAAATGCGTAGCAGCACTTATAATTATGATCTAATTCTGAATCAACAGTCATAGAAGATTGATTTTCGTGCGTTAAATCTTACACTCAAAATTCTACCTTTTAGCCATGAATTGTTGTATCAACACTACATAAGATTCCAAGTTAATTTTTAAAGCCAATCTCCAGATCAAGTAGCATAATAAATCCTATCCCCAATCAATCAATTAACAGACGAAAATATAAAGTTTGGAATTAGCCCTTGATTTTGTACTATTTTTCAATTTAGGTTGCGTCATGAAACCTTTATGTAGATAACGGATTCTTGATTACGACGAGGAAAAGGTACCCTTTATGAGGATACTTCACTTTAATTTTTTTTTTTTGTTCTTATTTCTTCTTTTCCTCTAAAGCTCTTTTCTAGAATAATATCTTCACCTATAAGTTACATAAGCTTACAAATTACTCAAGCACAAAGATTGTGATAACAATTCTGTAACAAAAAAACAAAGAAAGAAAGAAAGAAAAAATTATGGCTACAATTCCTAAGATGAACATATCCATAGTTCTCATTTACTTGCTATATCTTAAATAATTGAAGAAGCATAAGCATTAGAGGCCAATTGTATCTCACTTGTTCCACCATGGCCAATGAGTTGTCCTAGAGTTAACCCTTTTTTCTTTTTGGTGTGTGTGTGTGTGTGTGTGAAAAAGAAAATCAATGAAAAGAAGCAAAGCATGAAAGTTCTTGTTGATGACTTCATGGGGGGTTGCATAATTCAGAATCTATTCACATTCTGCTGGTGATGGCTATGCCTTGTGAAGCATAGTATCCTCAGCTTTGGAGAATTGGGACCCTATACAATGGTAGTGCAATTCCCACTTTAGAATCAATCCAACCCAATGAATTAGGCAAAGCAAGTCGAGTGGCTCAGGTTGATTTGTGCTCTCCAACCGCCAAAATCACCGTAGAAGTGGTTAGGATTGCCGGTGAAATTGAGGACAAGCCCAGAATAAAGTGATGGTGTGATCAATGCACAGTTTGACCAAAATTTGCGGACGCACGTAATATTTGTTAATCCTTGAACGTCAACTTATTCGGAAGAATTATGTATTTCCTCCACTCGCACCCTTTTCACCCTCAAATGTCAAACACAGAATTTAAACACTGACGGGCAAATGCTTCAATTAATATGTTGGTCACTTCAAGTTTAATTTGGTTAGCTATGCCAGACAATAGTCCACAGAACCCTTTTTTTTTCAGATCAAAATAATATCGTAATATAAAGTACTCGATCGGCTGCTGCAACAATGAAAAATTCAAATAAAATGTCTGTTTAATTTGGCTAGTTTCAAACTGGATTTTCAGAGCAATCGACTTCATACAAGTGTTGGAGCAACATAGGCTAGAAAAAAAGCGTAGAATAGAAACATGAAATATGATAAAATTGTTGTCCTAATCAAGTCAGATTAGAATCAATAATGAAGCATTTGTCGGTCCTTTTATTTCCACTTATCATGATCAGTTCGCCTTCTCCCAGAATATTGGTCTGCTGTATTTACTATTTAGCTCCAGGCCGGTCTTCTTCAGTAGTTGCCTTGGAGGCTTGGAACTATTTGTTGAATCTTGACCCATCTATAAATACCAAGCTTTTTGCATTATAATTTGCTGGTGACATGCTACTCGAGATTTCTATATTTGCCACTTGACCAATCAATCTCAATTTTCTTGATTTTTCTTTGTTCGTTAAAGGAATGCAAACACCAGCATTTGACACCTCTCCCTGCACTGGGACCTAATCACCTACTAGTTTTTTTTATTACTGAAGTTCCCATCATCAAAAGATAAATCACCTACTAGTTTTTTCTTCTTCCTTTTCTCTTTCTCGTGACAGCAAGGATTGTAAGTTCTTGTTCATGTAAATTAACTGTTTTTTTTTTTAAAAAAAAAGAGGGTCTGTTTGATGATTCGAACCATGATCCGTCGATTGTTGGTGAAGCGTCTTACAAATTATTGGACTGCGTTTCTTTGTCATGTAAATTAACTTGTACATGCATGACCGTATAATTTTAGAATATAATTTACATAATACAGGAAGAACTTATTAAACTCCCAAAAATTCATTCAGCCAAACCCTCCATTCTAATTTCTTTTATAGTTAGACCAAAATTTCCTTACAAATCTATCTGTAATATCAAATCAGTGTAAAACAATAATATGATTAGGCTGTAAATGCAGCAGTATAAAGTATGTACCTAAGTAATTTAGACATAAAAGAAACACTGCTGTTTGGCCTACTAAAGTACCTTTCTCTCATTTTTCTCAAATAAAAATGTCGCTTTCCCATGTTTGTTCTAAAAAGAAGATTGAATTGAATATTTATCCCATTATCCTGCTTTTTGAGGTTTTCATCTTTAAGTATACAATTAAAAGCTGCTTCAACTTGCGTTGCG